CCTTGATGGCTTCCAGGATATTGCCTGTGCATACCTGGATGACATAGTGATCTACAGTGAGTCCTGGTGTTGCAGTGTAAGCATGCAGAAGCCAAACACAGAAATATTGGACACAGGTCTTCAGGAAGTAACAGGCCTTTATTCACATTACCGATCGGGTCTCAGATGAACTCCTGTTCCAACATTCTGAGAGACATATACTTGTGGCTTGGGACTTTTGTTAACTGCATATCTCCTCCCATACAGTATAACCCTTCCTATATTCCTCAGACCAATCAATGAGCAGAATATAGACTTGTACATCTAGTCAAACCACATGGCTCATCCAAGACAAAGGAAATAAGTGCAATTTCAGTTCCTGCATTCCTGCACATGCTCAGTACACTGATGACAGTATCCTAGCTACATGTAGCTAGCCAACTGACACAACATACACATATGCCACATGGAGATTTTGGCCTACTAAATTTTAACCATGCTGGAATCCCATCACACTGGGAGGAACACTTAGCTCATGTAGGAATGGTCCTGGATCAGAATCGGGCTGGCCTGACCCTGAAGCCAGAGAAATGCCATTTTGGAATGGCTGAGGTTCAGTACCTGGGTCATCGGGTGGGGTGTGGAAAGCAGAGGCCAGAACCAGCCAAGATAGGGGTGGTTGCAAATTGGCCAACACCTCACACCAAGACCGAGGTCCTAGCCTTCCTCGGCACTGCTGGGAACCACAGGTGAATCATACCAGACTACAGTAGTATTGCCAAACCCCTGACAGACCTGAGAAAGAAAAATCTTCCCCGACAGGTCCTGTGGTCTCCCCACTGTGAGGCAGCTTTTCAGGCTCTCAAAAATGCACTGGTTAATGCTCCTGTCTTGGCTGCCCCAGCCTCTAACAAACGCTTTCTCGTCCACACAGACACTTCCATGTTCGGGCTGCGGACAGTCCTCAGCCAAATAGGAGAAGACAGAGGGGAGCATCCTGTTGCCTACATCAGCCGAAATCTCCTGCAATGAGAGGTCGGCTATGCTGCAGTGGAAAAGGAAAGTTTGGCCCTGGTGTGGGCGTTAAAAGAAACTGACTCCCTACCTGTATGGACAAGAGTTCACTCTGGTTACAGACCATAACACGTTGGTGTTGCTAAACTGGGACTCAGGAGATAATGGCAGACTGTTAAGATGGAGCCTATCCCTACAGCAATTCAATTTCACCATCGCTTAGAGACCCAGGTTACAGAATGGCAATGCTGACGGGTAATCAAGACAGACAGACCTCAGTCCAGAATAGCCCAGTTCTGGACAGCCTTAGTCTGCCCAGAAAAGGGGTCAGACCGTGTCTACCAGAGTGTTCCACAAGGAGGGAGCCATGTTACAGAGATCCCCTCTGTCAACTACAACACAGATACTTGTGTTGCTACCTGGATACCTTTACAATACCGCCACTTTTGTTGCTACCTAGATACTTTTCTGACACTGTTTATTCGAGCGCGCCTTGTCATCACTGTTCGTATACAAATGGTCGAAAGGGGAGCCAACCAAACTGACGAAAGAACTACAGAATGGCGACCACCTATACTCTGGCGTGTGTCTCTAATTAAACTGCGGTTTCTGTGGTTAACCGCAAGATAATCACTTATCCCAAGGTTGTCGCCACTCATAAGCCGAACACAAGGCGGCGGCCATCTTTTGCCATCGAATGCTCAGCGGGACTTGATCGTCAAACCCCTGAAACTATTATCAGACACTAGTTTGCACGGATCCCGCTGAGGTGCCGGTTGTCCCATCTGATTGGACAAAAAGACACGAAAGCCATACAGACACTTTATTCCCGGGCCTTTCAGAGACTATTCGTGAGATCTGAGCGTAATTCGTATGTTTTGTCCGCTCAGATCCAAGCTGTCTGGAGATGGGTCGGATGGGTCATTTTAGTGTTATCATGTGAAAGTTATGTATTTTTATTGTGTTTTCTTTTGTGGAATAAAACATGGGTATTTCATGTACTTGGAGATAATTGAGTTACTGTAACCGTTGAGATCAATTATCTCCAGGGTAGGGAGGAGTGTTTCATAAAATGCACTTTGTTCCTATTGGCTGTGACACTTTATTGTTCTTTGTACCATCAGGTCCAGAGGGGTGTTCCTCTGGCCAGGAAATTTGTATTTAATCCGTGCATGAGTACCCATTAAACCAGTTCATTTTACCCTCAACTCGCAGCCTCGACTCGTAGCTAGTGTGGAATATCTACATTTCCAGGATTATTACTGTATGCAGATCGGAGCGGCGCTCTCACTCTTCAATACCGGGAACCAGTACATCTAAGCGGTCTAACTTCCAGCTAGCCTGGAGGCAACCGTAACAACCAGCTCTTGCTAACACTTCCTTGGAACTATTTTCATCTTCTACCTCGTGGCAGACTGGTCAGAACTTCCCTGCGATGGTGATCCAAAACTACCAAATGGATCTGGGTGATCTTTGGATATGTTGCTCACCCAGATACATGCCATCCATGGATGTGACTCTTGTGGGCTTCCCATGCATTTTGGGGATACTTTTGGGGTGTTCCAAAATTGTACGCCATCCATGGCAGTCATATTGTGACAGGCCGCCACATTTGGTGGCAAGTGGGATCATCCCTTTTCCTGGACTGCTAATCTGCGGTTGGCACTGGTGTACAGTGAATGGAAGGCTGGTACACACAGCTTAAGTGCAGCACATTGAAAAAATTATTAGGAGTTTGTGGAGGTACTCCCAGCAACAAAGCCAAGCAGGTCATAATCAGCGAATTAATGGAGCTAGACCAGGAGAACTTGGCTGCGGCAACACCAACCATTCATGAGAATGAGACGGAAAAAAACAGGGAGATTCGGGAACGACTGGCACTGTTCAGGCCAAACCCATCTCCCAAAATATTAATGCAAGTAATAAACAATGTTACCACAAATGCAAACACCAGGGAACAGCGGGAACTACAAATACACTTAGCCAAAGTGCAACAAAGAGCTGCACCGCTCCCAAACCGCAAAAGGTTCCCTTCAGTATGTTCAAAGCCTTCACCAAATTGGAAGGGGAAATTGACGGCTACCTGGCAGATTTCTAACACCAGTGCACGCTACACAGAGTAGCTGAAGAAGAGTGGGTCCCTATACTAGCGTGGAAATTATCCGGCAAAGCAGCAGACCCTATTCAGGCCAAGATTTTCACTAATATGAGAGGGTAAAAGAGGCGCTCTTAGCCTGGTATGCAGTGACACTCGAAGCAGGAAATACCTGGACTTTCGCAAAATGGATAAAGACTTCTACACAGAGTGGGCCAGCCAGCTGCAACGATCAGCCTCCCAATGGATTACAAGCTGTCAAGCAACCACCATAGACAAAATTGTACAGCTTATCCTATTTTAACAATTTTCAATTTTATAGAAGCAGACGTCAAGGAGTGGGTAAGGGACCGCAGACCTCTTACACTCCCAGAGGCAGCCCAGCTTGCGGATGAATACCATGACGCTCGCAAGTTGGACCATCCTCCACCCTGGGTTCAAACCCTGTGGACCCAGACAGCAAGGGGGAGCTATCACTCCCCCATCCGACCTACCCCTACCAACACCAAACCCCCTCTAGCACAGGGTCCCGTTGCTATTGCTGCTGTGACAGACCGCCTGACACCCCGACTGGGCTTCCTAGTAGCCTTGAGCACTATAAGCACCACACCGGACACCACATCTGACTCCCTACCTGTATGGACAAGAGTTCACTCTGGTTACAGACCATAACCCGCTGACAGGTTATCAAGGCAGCTGCCGCAGCTTGCCTGGGGTCTCGTCATCCCTTCTCACCCTGGTTTAAACTCCTGGATCTAGCTCCCAGTGTACTTTTGTACTCCAGACAGAGAGACCAAACGTTAGCCCAGATTCCCTGGAACTGTTTTGGACATAGGACAATGTGCATGGTCGGTAAAAATAAGACTTCCAGTTAATTCATGAACTGATCTGGGTGATTTTTGAATATGTTGGTCATCCAGATCAGGGCTATCAGGGGATGTAACATTTGTGGGGTTTTATGCATTTTTAGGGTACTTTTGGGGTGTTTTTAAAAAGTTTGTTTTTTCTGTGCTTAGAGATAATTTGAATAGAATTAGTACAGTTACTGATCCAATTATCTCCCAAGCAGAGGAGAGAGATTGTGTGCTGTGTGTGGGACTGTCGTGCCTTGTGACCTTATTGTTACTGATCTGTGAAGTCGAAAATCAGTCCGCCACAAGATCCCTGTGGGCGTATCCCTTTGCATGGGGATTGTCATATAAGGCCAAGTGTTGCTCCCATTAAAGAGATTTGTTTACCCCTTCATGAAGTCTTGGCTCATGTTTGGGGGATTGGAGAACTGCATACACTCTGGGGATTGCTATATCACAATATTCCCCTGGGTACAATCACTAGCTCTTCTAAGAGCTGTTCCTGCTACGCTCGCTGGACTAGGAGAGGTCTACCCACTGGTAGCTGGATCCTGGTTTTGGATCCAGAGTGGGTGGAGGACAGCGAGACCCCAACCAAGCTGTGGCGCTTTGTGGGTTTTATGGTGGTTATGGTGTTCCAGTATGGTGCTTATGGTGCTCGCAAGTACTAGGAAGCAGCGATTGACGGAGGTACCCAGTCCGGTCCTTCACAGCCATCATGCTATTTCTTCTAAATAGACAAGCATAATATGGACTTAAAATTATCTTCAAAATCCTCCAGTACTGGATAAACTACGTTCAAATGGTTTTCCTACTGCTCACCTCTGCCTTTGCATAGTAACTCTGGGATGTTTACTAACACTCATTGCAGGGAACAGTTTGACTTTTTCTTCAGTTATCTTCTTGTAATCTTCTTGCAGCAGAATCTTTTTATTCAGTCAGTAATAATTCAGACTTAAATCTTGCCTATATTTTCTCCACCAGTAAATGTAGGAAATTAGCTGATCCTGAGATGTTTGTTTCTCACATCAGAGTTCCAATAATCAAATCAGATTTTCTTGCAGCCTTAAAATGTATATTTATTCAAACAATACACAGCATCTCAAAATAACATAAACTCTTTGCACACATCTGTACCAATACAGCAATATGTATGCACTTAAGTTTATATCCATTTTTTATGTTAAGTATTGGTGACGAACAGGGCCGGACTGGGAAAAAAATTAGGCCCGGGTGTGACAAGACCAATCTTGCCACTGTGCATTGGAGGAGCCTGGTTGCCAGTCTGCTGCCTTTAGACTATGGCCCCATATTGAAACGCTTGATTTTCCCCTGCAAAGACACGAAAGCCGGGTCATTCGGTGCTTGCCCTGTTTGAGCGGTGATACCCCAGATAGCTATGTCATGGAGCCCATTCGTATAATGAAAGACTATGGGAAAGACTTTGGCTCCATGGCAATCGAACTGTATGCGTGCGATCTGAGCGCCATTCAGTAATAATGTCCGCTCAGATCTGAGCAATCTGGGGATATGTTGAATGTACCTTTTTTATGCAATGGCTGCACAGTTATATATTTTTATGTATTTTATTGTCTTTTGCTGCCATGTGTTCAATGGAGTTTTGCCTCTGTCCTTGGAGAAAATTGGGTTACTTCCCAATTATCTCCAGGACAGAAGACTCTGTGGAACTGGTTTTGGGCAGAAAAGCCATGCTTCATTTGGTCACAAAGGACTACGATCTATCTTTTGAACCACTGGACCAACTTGTATGATTTTGACATATGTTTGGATTATGCTGATTCTGAAAATGTAAGTTGTATGTGAATGTGATGCATACTTTTAAAGTTATGAATAATGTGGAAAAACTATTTCTCTGCCTGTAATAATTACATTACCCATTGTGTAAGGGAATTGCATCACAGGCAAAGGGAGAGGATTTTGTGTGGGAGTGTCTGAGTGTATTGTACGTGTTTATTGGTTGTTTTCCAAAACCTTGTGGGTGGTACTAATGTGTATATAAGAACAATACACCCACAGCTCTATCTGTTCCTGCTTGACCCTCAAAACAGAGCCTTGTCTTGTTCTTGGGGGGATTTATTGTATGCTGTTCCAGTTCGACTGCTAGGAGTGTAAACCTATTCATATGGTTTTTCCTATTTGGCTGTTTACAGCATTCGTATGGTTCCTGTTTGCCTGTTTACGGCATTCATATGTGTAGCGGAGAGCTGATTTCTCACAGCTTAACTCCACCAGTATATCCAGAGAAGGCAGGAACAAGTAATACATCCCAGAGAATATCCAGCACAGTCAGTAATAAAATCCAATAATATCCCATCACCTTTCCCAATCACTGGACGACACACAGTATCAGGAGTAGAACTTAACTAACTTTTAATCACACAACCCCTTTAGTTCCACTGAAGCATGGCTCTCCAGCCCAAACTTTCCAGCCCAAACCAGTTTCAACTAGTCTGGCAGTGTGCCTGGGACTACGCCCTGCTGGAGAACAATGGGACAGGAAACGGGGGAGGGGTACACTTTCCTATACACAATTTATACACAGTCTAATAGAAGTCCATACACTGTGCTTAAAGGGCCAGTAAAAAAACAAATAAGGTAGGAAAACCTCAGTGCCTACCAAAATATGGCACCAATGGTATAGGTAAATCCACCTAGTACCTAATGGAGGCTCCAAGGTTCTCCAGGGGCCTAACCCCAAAGTTGTATATATGAAAAAAGAAAATGAAACAAACAGAGAAAAAACAGCTGCAAAAAGCTCTCACAAATAAGACAAGAAACAAAAAAATAAATAAAGGTGAGTCTCCTGGTGATAATTTAAAAAAGATACCTTTATTTATTTTTTTTCTTGTCTTATTTGTGAGAACTTTATTTATTTCATTTTCTTTTTTCATATATTAAAGGGCCAGTAGCCACATAATAAAAATCCATTATGCCCAAATACGGTCTTTAAAGGGCCATACCCCCAGGGCCATAATCACTGGGCAGGAGGTGAGCCATCAGCCCCTCCAGGAAACTGGGGCATACTCTGGTATAGGACCCAGTCTGCTACATTATATGTTTCTCCAGTTCGGTGGATTGGTGTCTACAGTAGCTGTGCCTGTGTCTCTCGCTCCTAGGCAACCATCCCCTGAACCCATGCAGTTGGGTGCTACGGGGTTAACTGAGGCCGAAAGAGCGTACCGTAGAAGGGAGAGGTTATGCCTTTATTGTGGGAAGAGGGGGCACCACTGTAATGCCTGCCCTAAAGTACAGGGAAACTGCAGCACCTAAGGCCTAGAGAAGGGTCGGCCTCGGGTGTTATGACTTTGTCCCCTCATGTGTCCATCTCCAGACCGTTTATTACGGTTTCTCTTTTGGTCAATAAAACCACTATCACAACCAAAGCCTTGATCGATTCAGGTGCGGCAGACAACCTTATGGATGAGACCTATGCCAAAACCGCAGCCCTGAATTTGATCCGAAAGGATACACCAGATCTGGAGAGGTCTGGAGAGACCTCTGGTAACCCATGAAACCCAGGAATTAGTTATGTCTGTGGGTGTTTTGCACAAGGAAAAGTTAACCTTCCAAATAATTGACTCCCCTACAGCCTCCATCATTCTGGGTTTTCCCTGGTTAGTTAAACACAACCCTGTACTTGATTGGGGTTGTTTAGATATACTAATCTTGTCAACGAGACTGTATGGCTCATGTACGTCCTGTTTGTTTACTCAACATGCCCACGGCTAAACCACTCTCGGTTTCTGTCCCTTCTGTATATGCAGACCTTGGCTTTGTTTTTGAAAAAAGGGAGGCAGATAAGCTACCTCCACATCGTGAGTATGATTGTGCCATAAACTTGTTACCGGGTACTATGCCTCCTAAGGGAAAGGTCTACCCTCTTTCTGAGAAAGAAAACCAGATCATGGAGGAGTACATTCGGGAATCCCTAAGTAAAGGTTTTATTAGAAGGTCCTCCTCTCCTGCTGGTGCTGGTTTATTCTTTGTGGCAAAGAAGGAGGGCGATTTGAGGCCATGTATAGACTACAGGGGTCTGAACAAAATATAACGGTTAAAAACGCCTACCCTATCCCCCTCATCATTGAGTTGTTTGATCGTGTTAAAGGTTCTAAATTTTCACCAAATTAGACCTCAGGGGGGCTTATAACCTTGTCCGTATAAAGGAGAATGATGAGTGGAAGACAGCGTTCAACACACGCAGTGGGCATTATGAATATCTGGTCATGCCTTTTGGACTGTGTAATGCTCCTGCCGTGTTTCAGGACCTCATAAATGATGTCCTTAGGGATCTATTGCATGTCTGTGCCGTGGTGTACCTTGACAACATACTTGTGTATTCTCCTGATTTGAAGTCACACCATAACCATGTTAGGATGGTGCTCAAAAGGCTATTACAGAACGGACTCTACTGTAAGTTAGAAAATTTTTATTCGATCAGACCTCTGTGCAATTCCTAGGATATATCATTACTGAACAGGGTTTCAGTATGGATCCTGCTAAATTGGAAGCCATACTGTCCTGGCCACTTCCCCAAGGACTGAAGGCTATCCAGCGTTTTATAGGATTTGCCAACTATTATAGGAAATTTATAAAAAACTTTTCACCACTTATCTCTCCTATAACGAAGCTGACAAAAAAAGGTCTACACCCTAGGGTTTGGACTCCTGAAGCCCTTAAGGCCTTCGAAACTCTCAAGAAGGCATTTGCCTCTGCTCCAGTGCTGCACCACCCTGATCCTTCTCTTCCCTTTGTTATGGAAGTAGACGCTTCAGAGTCGGGTGTGGGAGCAGTACTGTCACAGAGGTTGTCGTATGACAAACCCCTCCATCCCTGTTGTTATTTTTCTAAAAGGTTGTCTGATCCAGAGAAGAATTACGATGTTGGGAACAGGGAACTACTAGCTATTGTGTTAGCTTTTAAGGAATGGAGGTACTTATTAGAGGGTTCTAGACACAAAATTATGGTTATAACAGATCATAAGAACCTCTCCTATATAGCTGATGCTAGAAGGTTATCTGCCTGGCAGGCTAGATGGTCTCTATTTCTCTCACGCTTCCAATATGTTATTACCTATAGACCTGGTTGCCGTAATGCCAAAGCTGACGCTATCTCTCGACAGCATGAACCAGTAGAATTTGTTAACCCGACTCCTGAACCTATTGTACCTGCGTCTCAGATAATAGCTGCTACCCGATTGGTTGTTTCATCACCTTTCCTTGATAGTATTAAGACATACCAAACCCAAGCACCCACTGAGACGCCGGTTGGTAAACTATACGTTGAAGCAAATGACAGAAAAAAGTTGTTAACTTTATTTCACACCGCCAAAACTGCTGGTCATCCGGGGGTTACCAAAACCTACAAGGGTCTCCTTCAACAGTTCTGGTGGCCTCACTCAAACGAGATGTAGTGGATTTTGTTCAGGCTTGTCGGGTCTGCACGCAGTGTAAGTCCCCTAATGTGAGACACCAGGGTCTACTGATGCCTCTATCTATACCCAAGAAACCATGGACCCACTTATCCATGGATTTCATTGTAGACCTTCCTCTTTCTGATGGTCAGACGGTGATACTGACTGTGACGGATAGGTTCTCTAAAATGGCGCACTTTATTCCGTTTAAGAAACTGCCTTCTGTGGTTCAGTTAGCTCAGGTGTTTGCCAAAGAAGTGTTGCGCTTGCATGGGGTACCTCAGGATATCGTATCAGACAGGGGTCCTCAATTTGTCTCTTGGTTTTGGAGGGGCTTTTGTGCTGAGATGGGGGTCTCCTTGTCGTTCACTTCCTCCTATCACCCTCAATCTAATGGTGCGGCCGAACGTGCTAATCAGTCTGTGGAATTGTATTTGCGCTGCTTCACTAATGCGCACCAGGATGACTGGTCTCGCCTCCCTCCGTGGGCTGAATTTGCCAGGAATACGGTGTCTCATTCGTCTCAGAAAAGGTTTGCTGATCGCCGTAGGGTTGCGGCCCCTTCTTATGTTCCGGGTGATAGGGTATAGTTGTCCTCCAGGAACCTCCGTCTCAAGGTTCCCTTGATGAAATTTGCTCCCAGATTTCTTGGTCCCTACAAGGTGTTACGTAGGGTTAACCCCGTTTCCTTCTCCCTTGACCTGCCTCCTTCCATGCGAATACCGAACACGTTTCACGTCTCGCTTTTGAAGCCCGGTTCTCTCGTCCCCCCAGGCGGCCCGTTTTCCCTCGCGCTGTCCCTAGCGACGTGTACGAGGTGGCTGCCCTTTTCGACTCTCATGTTTCTAGGGATCGGCTGCAATATTTGGTGGATTGGAAGGGGTACGGTCCTGAGGAGCGGTCTTGGGTTTCGAGCTCTGATATGCACGCTCCCTCTTTGGTCCGCTCCTTTCATGCCCAGTTTCCTTTGAAGCCTTCTGCTTCCCG